CTGTATTTCCCTTTAGTCATGCATGGAAGTAGACTGAAGACTTAGCCAGCAGCAAGACTGGGAAGCTCTTAATATTTAATTTTGAAATCCTTGGTGTTCTCTGAATCTGGTTGTATTCTTGCAGGCGTTTGATTACCAAACTAAGGTAAGGTCATCAGTGCAGAAGGGAGTCAGGTTTGCACTATTGGTGATGAGCAAGCCCAAATGAGAGCAAAACCCATTCTCTTCTAGCACTGATGATGGTACCTAGTTGGGTAATGAAAGGTCTTACTCTTTGAAAGTTACTTGTTCTCTATACTGTATCTCAGGGCTCCCCAACCTATGGGCCACGGCCCAATACCGGGCCGTGGGCTCTTGACCAGCAGGCCGCAGAAATGTCTGGCCAGGGTGCGCACGCATGGGTGTGCATTCCCTCCCCCACTCGCGCTAGCGCCCACAGCCCTGTTTGCACATGCGTGCGAGCGGGAACGCTAGCGTGGGATAAGCATGCACGCCCCGTTTGTGCATGCACAAACGGGCCGCTAGCACGAAGGGGGTGTGTGCAGCCCATTTGTGCATGTGTGAATGGGCCACTAGCTTGGGGTGTGCGCTGCCCATTTGCGCATGTGCAAATGGGGTGCTAGTGGGGGGTGGCCATTTGCGCACAGCGCATGCGTAAACACGGCCACTAGTACTGCGCCAGTGGGCGTGGCCCCATTTGTGTGTGTGCACACGCAATAATTTGGAAGCTGCTCTCCCCTCCGGGCCGCAAGCCTGGAAAGGTTGGAGAACTCTGCTGTATCTGATAATTCCATATAATTAAGTACAAGTTTATTTTATGAATATTATAACATTGGGTTGTGGGTTGTTGTTTTTTTTAATCTTGCTCTCCTAAACATTCTCTGTTGGTTAACTTGGTTTTATTCGTTGTGCTTTGCAGATTCAGTTTAGAGAGAAGGTTTTATGGACAGCTATCACCCTCTTCATTTTTTTAGTATGCTGCCAGGTAAGAATTGACTCTTTTATTTATTCACCTTCTGACAGAGCAGCCTATGGATGCCTTTAGGTCAGGGGTAGGCAGCCTTGGCTCTTTTATGACTCGTGGACTTAACTCCCAGAATTCCCCTGGCCAGCATGTTGGAAGTCCATGCCTCTTAAAATTTACCTCAGGTTGCAAAAAACACTGGACTAACCCAGGGGTAGGCAACCTTGGCTCTTTTATGACTCGTGGACTTCAACTCCCAGAATTCCTGAGCCAGCATGGCTCAGCTTGGAAACCTCTCCCTTTCCCCTCAGCGTGGCTGGCTCAGGAATTCTGGGAGTTGAAGTCCACCCTGGTTTAGGGTCTCCTGCTTGCTGCTGTTGATGTATAGGTAGTCCTTGACTTACAGCCGTCTATTTAGTGACCGTTTGAAGTTACAACATCGCTGAAACGGTTGATTTATTACTGTTTTTCCACCCTTATCACCGTTACAGCATCCCTGTGATCAAAATTTATTTATTTTATTTTTATTTATTTTATTTTTAAGACTTATATGCCGCCCTTCTCCCCACGGGACTCAGGGCGGCTCACAGCATATTAAAACAACATAGTACATTTCCCCAATAAAAGCCAATTAAAAACCAAATATTTGTAGCTGTGTCTCTTATTAAAATCATTAAAAATTATCCCTATTTAAAATTCACCCTAGGTCAGTCCCGCTTGCT